ACCTCTGTCTAGAGCTGAGGGAAGGCCCCGTCTCCCCCATAGCCCAACCCCCAAATCTCCACACCCAGGGGCAGTGATCCCTGGAACCACAGAGCCCCTGCCCCCAGCAGGGACCAGCCCCCACACGTGTGATGCACCCCACCCCCTTCCCAGCCCCACTCAGCCTCACCTCAGCTGTTTCTTGCTCCAGGCTTTGCCAAATCCGCCTTCCACATGGGACATTGAGGTAGAGTGGTGCATGGAGCCTGGGGCACAGAGATCTGGTCACAACCTCCCAGAACCTCCCAGCAGCCCCTGCTCCAACAGCCCGGAGCGCCCCACAGAGACCTCTGAGAATAGCTCAGGTCCACTCCAACATCCAGGCCCCTATCCTGCTAGCCAGCCAAGATGCTCAGATCCACCCACACTAGCCAGCCCAGAACCATCCATCCATCCCCCACAGGAACAGAGCCCCCCCGCATGAGTCAGGAGCTGCCCAGCCCCCTCCAGGATGGTTTGGTGCAGGGAGCAGGTCCACAGGAATCTGGGCTGAGGCACTACAATGCCCGTCTACACCCTTAAGTGCACAGGGGCCTGGATGCCACCCTGAAGGGTTCAGGACCAGACCAAGCTGGGGGACCCCCCGGTTTTCCTATGGTTGTTTGTGCACCTAGCCGGGGACCCCCACAGACAGCAGGCATCAGTCAGGGTCCCGAGCCCCCAGCTCAGGTCAGACCAGGACTGAACCCCACCACCCCACCAGTAGCAGGGCACGTCCCCTAGCGAACCTCTGAGCGGGGACTGCGGCTGCCCGCCTGGCAGGAGGAAGCTGAACACGGGGGAACCACTGCAAGAGAGACAGACAGAGACAGACAGGTGAGGCTGGAGCACATGAGAACATGCTTCTTCCCCCACCCCCCAGCTGCCAGCTCAGCACCACCTGGGCCCAGAGGAGATGGCTCCACCAGGTACAGGACGCAGGGAGGCCTGCCCACTGCTCTGAGGAGGTCACCCTCAGGCGTCCACCAGGGGGAGCTCTACCTGGGTCCCCGCCTGGCAGGGGTAGTGGGTCGGGGCACAAGCCAGCCAGACTCAGGCTGGATTTTACAAATTCATTTCATTCAAGCTCTGCCTTGGCAGGAAGCTCACGGAAGGAGGCTCTGCTCAGCATGGCAGGGAGAAGCACAATTCATGAGCCAGGACTCCTGGGTCCTATCCCCAGGGCCTGGAATGGAGTGGGGACTAGTGGTTAGAGCAACAATGCTCACTCCTGGGTCCTATCCCCAGCTCTGGGAGGCTCTGCCAGGGACTCCACCAGCTGTTTTTGGCCAAAATCCTGTTCTGCAGAGACCCAGGCTGAAGGGGAAAAAACCCCAAACCCTTAATTCTTTAAAAATCCAATTGCAGTGCAGGGATGGGTGGCTGCAGGGGCCAGCCAGTGGCTCAGAGCTGCTCTGCCCAGGCGCTGTAAGCTGGCAGGTGAGCCATGGCGACTGCATCATCCCCACCAGGGCTTGGAAGCAATATCCCAGCTGCAGACTCCAGCCCCCCAGGGGAGAAAGAGGGGTCAGGCTCCCAGATACCTCTTCTCCAGGCCCCAGCTGAGGGCCCCCACCTGCCAGCTTCATGGAAGAGTCGCCAAAGGGAGAGACCTGGCGCTCCCAGTCAGGGGTTACCCGGAGAGAGCGCCTCCTACTGCCTCTCTGGGGCCAGACTGTTGGGAGAGCGCCCAGCACTGAGCAGACCTGATCCGGCACTGGCTGGCTGGCTGCTGCCGTGCCAGGCTGCTGACTCACCTGTTGCTGTTGCCACTGCTGGGTGTCAGGCAGTCGCTCATCACAGGCAGATCTGGAAGGCAGGCAGGGAGCATGAGTCTCTCCCCAGCCACCTCCGGTGGGATGGGCACGGCCAGCGCCCGCCCCGGCCACACTGCCAGCCCCGACCTGAACAGCTGCCAAGGTCCTTCAAAGGGCTTTGCCGACACAGGGGCCTTTGTTCTGGGGCTGGGCTGAGCCAGCTCCCAGAATGCTCCACTCCCACTCCTCCCCCACCCTGGCCTTGGAAGGGGGAGTCCCCCGTGGCTGGCGGTTGCAGTGCCCCCCCCTCCCCGACACCCCGGCAGCAGCCAGCCAGCATGACAGCCCCGTCTGGGGTCCAGCACAGAAGATCTGCCCCTCTCAGGCAGGGCCCCCTGACTCCCCTGCACCGGAGTCCAGTGCCAGCAGGAGAGGTCGGAGGCAGCTTTGCCCCAGGGGTCTGGCTGTAGGAGAAGAACTCCCCCCCTCCCCCCGCATGGGACTGAGGGGCCCCGGTACCTTTGAGTCCCCCCGGCTCCTTGGGGCGCACGAAGCCCGGCTTGAGCACCTCGAAGCACAGGAAGAGCTCAGCCAGGAACACCCCGATGTTGATCTGCAGGGGAGGCAGAACTGCTGCTAACATGCTCCACAGGGGCAATGGGACGCCCCCTCGAGTGCCCCCTAGCCAGAGTAGGGGGGCTCCCCAGCCACCACCCCGCCCCAGGGATCAGCGTTCACCCCTCTCCCCAAGCAAGGCACCGACTCCAGGGCGCCAGGCCCAGGCCCAGCCCAGAGGGGCCCTTCGTGCCAGGCTGCACAGCCCCAATTAGAGCAGCCAGAGGCACCAGCCAAGGCCTCATTAGGGCCAGGCCGGGCTGTTCCTTCGGGCAGGCTAATTCGCACCCTTCTGCGTGGGTGGAGAGCGGGGCACAGGCTGGGGAGCTGCAGTCAGGGCTGGGCAGAGCCTCCCACCCCCAGGACTCCATGGTAACACTGAACCCAGCCCCAAAGCTTGCACTGGGACAGGAAGGGTGTCCTGCCTGGGCGAGCCCGACAGCCACCCCACTCCACATGCCCCAGCACCCCCAGCTCCTCAGGACACGCTCCCTCCAGCGGGGCCTGGCAGCGCCTGTCCCCTCGCAGGAGTCTCCTGTGCACACGGCACTGCCCACGAGCTGCGGGCACCTTGGTCCTGCCCCACTCACCCTCAGCACGGGAGGCACGTAGAGCAGGTCCTCCAGCGCCAGGGGGCAGCAGCCCCCCAGGTACCCTGCGCAGAACTCCTGGATGAGCTGCAGGTTGTAGAGGCTGTCGGCCACCGACATGGTCTCCTTCAGGCACACGTCTGCAGGGAGAGGGTGTCAGTGCCGTCCTGGGTCCCGCCCCCCCCCAGCAGTGTTCCCGGCAAGCTGAGCGATTCCAGCACTGCAGAGCCAGTTAGCCAAGCGCCCACAGCTGGGTTTCTGGTTTCATGCACATAAAAAACCCTTATTCACCCTGCACGTGAATGGAGATTAGAGGGAACATCACCCTGCCCTCCGGCATACAACCCGAGAGGGTGTCAGTGCCGTCCTGGGTCCCGCCCCCCCCCAGCAGTGTTCCCGGCAAGCTGAGCGATTCCAGCACTGCAGAGCCAGTTAGCCAAGCGCCCACAGCTGGGTTTCTGGTTTCATGCACATAAAAAACCCTTATTCACCCTGCACGTGAATGGAGATTAGAGGGAACATCACCCTGCCCTCCGGCATACAACCCGGCTCCCGCCCCCTGGAGCCCTGGCCCCTAACCCCCAGCTCCCACCCCACCAGCGCCCGCAATCCCCGGCTCCCACCCCGCCACCCGGCAC